TGTGTCTCTCTCACATCAATGTTTCTCTATCTCCTCTTTCATTCTCCCTCCCCCCCTCCACTCTCTTTTTTAAAAAATCAATGGAAAAAATATCCTTGGGTGAGGATTAACCACACCAAAAAAGTAAAACAATCTATGCTCATGAGTAGAAAAATCTCTATATATAAAAACCTAAGCAACCATTATGACTGGTCAACCAGTCACTATGATGTGCACTGACCACCAGGGGACAGACACTCAATGCAGGACCTGCCCCCTGGTGGTCAGTGTACTCCCACAGCCAACCTCCCGCGGCTCGCCAACCTCCCATGGTCCCTCCCCCCAGCTAGTGGTCCCAGATCACCCCAATCGGAACCTCCTGTGGCCCCTTCCCCCCAGCTGGCTGGCCAACCTCCCAAGGCCCTTCCCCCCGGCTGGCTGGCACCCCCATTGGCCCCAACAGCCAACCTCCCACAGTCCCTCTTCTCTGCCGACCAGCTCCCCCTATAGGCCCTGATCGGGGGACTGGCCCGCCAACCTCCCAGAGTCCCTCCCCCCGCCGGCTGGCCTCCCGATAGGCCTCAATCACCAGCCAGACTGAGGGACCCCATGCATGCACGAATTTGTACACCGGTCCTCTAGTGATTAAATAATTATGGCACCTCTATCTAGGGAGTAAGAATACTATGCAACTATTAAAAAGAGTGAAGAGTAAACACTGTACATGGAATTATTGAGTTGAAAAAAATCTAGTCATAGGATTAGATAAACAATGTGATAATATTCATATTAGAGTTCACACAAACAAAGCTGTACTTTCATATGCATATACATATATGTGTACATGCATCAAGAAAGGATTTGTAAGGAAAGACATAAACTCATAACAGAAATGAACTTGGTGGTTAGGGATGTGACATTGGGGGAAGGGTAAATCTTGACCTTTTCTTTTATATAGCCCTATACTGTATTGTTTGGGGGTTAAATTTTTTCTCTAAATGAAGAATATGCAAAAAAAAGCTGTGTTTTACAACATATCTTATTGGTGAAAGGTTTTAAGGTGGTTCACAAGATGGGAAGAGAGGTGGGGAAGGGCACCATCCAACCAAGGTACTCAGATTCACTGGAGCACTTAATTGAAGCATATCAAAATTGGCAAACCCCAAAATGGGACTACTTAAGGGCACACTCTTAAAAACTAGAAAATCATTTATCCTATGGATAGAAAACAGATGCTGTACTGCACCTGTTATAGGATACTGTTCTACCCACCCTGCAAAGAGCAGCAACATCACTTTTGAAAGTGTTTTCTACTTTGGGCCTGCAGAGAAAAGACATATCCTCAGCCAATGAGAGCATCAGGCAGGTTACCCAAGGCAGTGAGGAGAAAATGCAGAACAAAGTTCTGGCAATTGTCCAAAGCATCTGAAGTAGCTCTAGTTGTACTCTGCAAACTATGAAAATTGGTAAGATGGGACCAAAGAATGCAAGGGCTCTTTGAATCTAAGAAGAAACATCCAGAAAACAGACAGTAGTCCTCTTGGCCCTGTTTCCCTGCATTCAGAGGAGCTTCAGGCAGAAAAATCCTGTGGGTTTCACTCAAAATTGTTTCCTGGGTTTTAAGCTGAAATTGACAGCTCTCGTGTCCAAGTAGTGATGGCAATGGGCCTGGCCCCCAGGATTTGAAAGAGATTTATAAAGAGATGCTCTTAAAAAGATTTCTAGATATCAGCAAACTTAAAAAAACCAGCATGTTGATGCGTTGAGTGTCAACAAGTGAGAAACAGAAGCATCAGATCTTCCTTCAAACACTGGCTTAAGCACGAAGGGGGAAAACATCCAGTTATCAAAATAGGCTTGAGGTTTTTTGCTGAGACCAGAAATTCTGGGGAGCAGTGTGAGATGTTTTTGCCAAACCTTAAATACTGCAGGGGTAACCAATTAGATCAGCGGTTCTCAACCTGTGGGTCGCGACCCCTTTGGCGGTCGAATGACCCTTTCACAGGGGTCGCCTAAGACCATCCTGCATATCAGATATTTACATTACGATTCATAACAGTAGCAACATTACAGTTATGAAGTAGCAACGAAAATAATTTTATGGTTGGGTCACAACATGAGGAACTGTATTTAAAGGGCCAGAAGGTTGAGAACCACTGAATTAGATAATTGCCTTTTCATTCTGTGGATTTCTCATTGTTTCTTCTTCTTCTTTTTCAAGCAAACAAAATAATTAGCCTTGTCTCAGGATAATTTTGCTGATATTTCCATAATGAAATAATTACTTCAGCCCTGAATTAAACACTGTCCTTCTCTGGGTACAGTAGGCCACCAGCTGTTTTAAATAACCCTTGAGAGGGTCAGGTTAAGGACTCAGTTTATGACCTTATAAATTAACATAAGGGAACCTACTCCATAATGCAACAGACAATCTATTTATAATGCTTAATTAATCTCCTGCAGTCACTAACAGAGCCCACTTGTGACCTTTCGTTTCAACCTCACCAAATGTAAGTCTCCTGAGATGAGAGGTGTTAATATGTGAATGCTGATAGAATTTGCTGGCATCGTGGCCAAGTATTAAAGAGCTGACAGTCTGGATAAATTAGCTCCTGATAGCTTACTAATCAAGTGGAAGAAGCAAATGTCAAGTTGGGCAGCACTGATGAAACCCTTCATCAAACCCTGAGTGGGAGAAATACAGAAAGAGGAAAATGGCCATGTCTGACACTGCTGGCCAAACTTTGAATTTCATGCAGACTTGGCAGATGAGACAACCAAGAGAAAAGTGTCAGAATTGTTTCAAAAGATGGCTGTGGGAGGTCATTCTGGGTGGCTGCCTTTAGCTGTTGTTGCTACTACTCCCAGGCTGCGATTTTCAAACTGTGTGCCCAAACGGTGTGCTGCAACCATTTTTAAAACTTGCAATGCCTGACTAATCAGAGTCACTGACCTTTTACCTTACATTAAAAAAAAAAAAGACAACAGCCCACACAATAGCTGTCTGGTGTGAATGGATCAAAATTATACCTTTTTTTTTTTTTGGTCAGATCTGCAAAAGATATATTTTTTGGTGTGCCGCAGACTTTTAGTAATTAGTTTATGTGTGCCATGAGCTGAGAAAGGTTGAAAATCACTGTCTTAGAATGATACAAAAAATCCAAAGTGAACCAATTCAATGCTGTCTTAAGGAAGGTCCTACAGACAGAGTGGAGTTATCTGGAAGTGCCTCAGAAGCTATAGGGTGTGGGGAGAGCAATATTTTTAGACATGGGAACAGGCCTGGGAAGAAGAAAGGAAATACATATGCCACTTGGACATTTCTTTGGCCCTAAGGGAGCAACAGTGACCTGACCACAGAAATTCTGCCTTGTGGTCTGGCATCTTGGAGTATGCGTGGAAGGCTTTGTCAGATTTTTGAACTGTCCAGGGTGTTTCTATGTGTCTTCATCATTCAGGGAACTAGATTTCTTTATGTCTACCACATTCAAGTGTCAATGTAAGAGATACATCTGGCGCTGCTGTGAGCCTTAGGCAGGTTCCTTAACCTCATTGCCTCCGTTTTCTCATCTGCAAAGTGAGAATCTTAACAGTAACTACCTCATAGGGTTGTTGTGAAGATTAAATAGAGTTAATACATATATAGGCTTTAAACAGTGCCTCACATATAGTAGGCACTATGTAAGCCTGGACTGTTTTCATGGTAGCATCTCTGTAGTATCTTTCTCTTCTGGGCTCTCCTTTCCTGGTGCTGCTGTAGCAGTCAGCTCAGACTGTTATGACCTCTTTCCAATACTTCATACATTGTATTGCCACTGAAATCGTTCAGTCTCTGATCTTGTCTTTATCTTATTCAGTGATCTGCAGAGTTCATTAAATAAAGTCCAAATGCCTTCATTTTGCTTTCTAGCCTCATCCCACTCTTACCTCCTGACCCTGGTTTCACACTCTAATCTCACATTTCACTGCACCTTGTCAGGAACCCTCCCCTCCCCTGAAACCATGCTATTTTCTATGCCTTATTCTCCTTCACTTGTCCTGGCATGTTTTTGCTTTTGTACCTGTGCTCACTGTTCTCTCCACTTGGAGTTTATCTTCTGGTTCAAATCCTAGCCATCCTTGAAAGCCAGGCCCAAATGCCACCTGCACCCTGGGGCCTTTCTGAGCTCCAATGATCTTTATTTATTACTAGAGGCCCAGTGCACGAAATTCGTGTACTGGTAGGGTCCCTAGCGGCTGCCAGCTGCCGGCCGGGTACTCCCTCCCTTCCTCTGGCTGCCTGCTGCCGCCGTTGGGGCCTCCCTCCCTTACCCCCCGCCAGCCCCACCCCCTGGTCGAACTCTTGGGCAACTCCCAGTTGAGGGGACAATTTGCATACTATGCTTTTATTACATAGGATTGTTTTTTTTAGTCCTCAACCCTAGTTACCTGTCATTACAGCTATCAATTTATATGTCCCCTATTTAGTATGTTCCACATCCCAGCCTCTAAGTGCCTTGGAGCCAGGCTCAGTCTTTAGTACAGTGGTTCTCAACCTGTGGGTCGCGACCCCTTTGGCGGTCGAATGACCCTTTCACAGGGGTCGCCTAAGACCATCCTGCATATCAGATATTTACATTACGATTCATAACAGTAGCAACATTACAGTTATGAAGTAGCAACGAAAATAATTTTATGGTTGGGTCACAACATGAGGAACTGTATTTAAAGGGCCAGAAGGTTGAGAACCACTGCTTTAGTATGTCCTCCTCAGTCCTGTCCCCAGCCCTATGCTATGCACAGAGCAGGTCCTCTGCAAACAGAATTGGAATATTAATTGAGAATCCTGGAATGACAGCTCGGTCTTTCTATGACGTATTCTCAGTTACCTTATTGTTCTGTATGTGGAAATATTTCAACTCTACATGGAATGAATAAAACAGCCCATCAGCAGGAAAACAAATACAAAATGCACAACTGATCCTCAAACAATGGATTGTTTTTTTAAGAAGGAGTAATGAAAAACTATCTGAGTTCAATACCTTTATATCTGGTCACTACAGCTGCATTGACACTAAGAGGCTCTTGGAAGCTGACGGTGAGTGATGTGCTGCTGGTTACCATGAGGCAGACATTGGTTGGCACCTCGGGGGCTCCTGGGACAGAAGGAAAAACACAAGGATCTTAACATAACAAATCCTTTTCAATGTTCTCGCCTCTTCAAAGGATACCCAGAAACACACACTATGGAAACATTTGTTTTGTAGAGCCTAATAGCTTTTGCTTTTGAACATTTCCATTAGAAGTCTCAATGGCCTTTATTTGTTGCCATCTTGGTCTTATTTGATCATTAAAACATCATTTGAAGGGGTAAATAATACCAGTTAAGCCTTCCCAAAGTATCCTGGAAACATAATAGGAGGTTAGCTGGACCAGCGAAGAGGAGGCTAGAAAGTGTTAGCAGGAACTATTATATTTCATTAAGTACTTTTGTGTAAATCATCTCAGGGGAGACTTTTTGCAACCCTGTTGGTAGAAAGGGCAAGTAACAGCATTCCATTCTTTTTGGGTGAGGAAGCTGCAGCCCAAAGAGGCCAAATGACTTGTTCAAGGACATATGGCTTTGGATGACCAATTCTGGACTCTTCCCAACATGGGATGTTAACTCACCTTGCTCTCATTGTGCCTGCTATTACACAGTAGTATTTTACTAGGAAAGAATTCACATGCAAATGTCAGGTCTACTAATAGATTTCTTATGGTGCTAGGTATTTCTTCTAGGTGTTTTGTGATTTAGAAAATTAAAAATTGGTATCAAGTCTAAAAATATGATTTCTTCTAATATTAATTTGTCCTGAATGAAGCACAATAGCAAGTGCATTTATTAAAACAATGGCTGGATTTTTTTTTTAAAGAGCAAACGTATCAGCATTGCTTAAGAGATTGTTAATAATAAAAGCAACCTTTCATTCATGTCAGTTATTTGCTTCAAGAGAAAGGAGTAGGCCTAGTTTGGGGCTTAGTATTCAGTACTACTACAGAAAACAAGACTTACTGCTTTGGTTTTTATCACAGCTAAGGTTACTGGAGCAGAGGCAGATAATTCCCACACTAATGAACTGACCTTTTCCTTATATTTAAATTTTCAATATAATTCTAATATTTTTGCTGTTTGAATAAGATTTTCTTTTGGAATTAAAGTTTAATATTTCACAAGTTTGAGTTTGAATTACATACATATTCTTTTATATCAGAGGCTGCAGTAAGCAGTACCTTCCAGTGCTAGTATAATCCAGAAACAAGACTTGTTTAAACTAACAAAAAGGACTGGTAATAGAGAATGGACATGCAGACAAAAGCATAATTCATGGGTTGATTGCCTGTCCTCTGCAGCCTGTATTCACTGAAGGTCAGTTTACATAAGCTCTATATAAAAAATGCAGTAGAGAGTCGAAAACAACTTACACTTGAGCCTGAAGCAGAAACTGGACAAATAGGCAAACAAATATTTTTCCACCTCTGCATCCCAAAATATAGTCACTTAGGGCATCAGACCATCCAGGTCATTAGGCATTAGGGCGTAACGGGTGGAAAGTGCTAGATGAGTGTGACATGGTGGAGGGAGGCCAGCAGCACTGAAGCCTCATGGCTGTGGCCAGAGAACCTATCAGGAGCCAGAAAATCAAGTAAGACAAAAGATCCTTTTACAGTCTCCCAGAACCCTTGCTCCAAACAGGCCGACAACGGCCATCCATGACCCTGTAGTGTTACAGAAAAATCAGTAAAGGAAGGCCTGGCTGTCTCAAACCAAGGTTTGGTCCAGTTAAACGTAGAGGGCCTCTGCTTATACTCACTGGCATGTTCGAAGCCTGTTTTCATGCGTCTGTAGAGCCGGTACCTCCACTCCCAAGCTTTCAGCTGTTTCTCTTTCTCTGTGTTGTCCAGACTGAATCCTTCGTTCTCCACCTGAATAGACAGTTCACTCACCCTCTCCTGGGCTTCCTGCACCAGTGTGTTGAGGTGCATGGCTCGACTTTCCAGGCTGACAACTAAACAGAAAGAAATGGGTGATGCCTTTTTCTTGCTGGGAAAACGCTGCTTCACTGGCAAGAGATCTGAGAGTCCACTATAGGTTTTAAAAAATGCCCGGCGGAAGTGAGATCCATATTCGTTACTAATGTTTTGTTATGATAAGGTCTAATTAGTGACATTTACAACTAGATTAAATGGTAAATCCATCCATTTAAGATATTCCCATTGCCCTCTGGCCCTCTTGTGACACACACCCCATACAGCTGCTTAGCAGTTAATTAGAATTCCACTGTCAAGTGCCCACGAGGACCGCTTCTCATCCAGATTGCACACGTTTCCATGCTCTTCGGAGGACAAACACTTAGGAGCTAAAGCTCTGCAGGGCCAGGACGGCCCTAGGAAAAGTCATTGATGAGGGAAGCTACATTCTGCCAGAGTTGTTTGTTCTTTATTTTTTTAGAACTTGATTCAGATTTTTTGCTCTTATCACTTTCTGCCCAGCTCATAGACATTTTTGTATGCGTATCCTAGTGGCATAATTCTGTTAGTATTAGTCAATTTATTTATTGCTAACAAAGTGTTCTGCTGCTGCCACAATAGGTCTAGTGCAGCGGTTCTCAACCTGTGGGTCGCAACCCCTTTGGGGGTCGAACGACCCTTTCACAGGGGTCGCCTAAGACCATCGGAAAACACATATATAATTACATGTTGTTTTTGTGATTAATCACTATGCTTTAATTATGTTCAATTTGTAACAATGAAATTGGGGGTCACCACAACATGAGGAACTGTATTAAAGGGTCACGGGATTAGGAAGGTTGAGAACCACTGCTCTAGTGAATTCTGATAGCTGACTTGATTGTGATCAGACATTGATCTTTGATTGTGATCTGATTGTAGGTATGGTCTCTGGAGATGCCCATGCCCAAGAGAGAAAGCTGTCCTAGCTCTTCTTGCTGAGAGAACTTAAACAGCTTGATATTTCTGTTTTACTCAATGCATGATAGTCTTTATTTGATTCATATCATGTTGTTGACCCAGTCTGCTCTCGTGTGAGTGAATGTTCATGTCCATGATGTTTCACATTCTATGTCAGGCTAGGAGGCTGCTTCTTATGGTGGCTCTCCTGCATGTGAGGGTCTGCCTAGTTGGTCACTTCTGATCTGGGCATGTGGTAGGGGATCAGATCATGAAACAGATCAAAATCAAGTTTGGCAGTTCTGTTACCCACTCATCGAACACTCTCTGTGACCAAAACAATATTTTCCCCCAGGTGGGTGGGGAAGAAATCCAACTATTTCATTCTTCTAATGAAGGGGGAAAATATGATGAAGATAATTCAAGTGAAAATTTGTTAGGTGTATTTTGAAATGGAAATTAGGTGGTTATATATTCATATTCTCTGTGTTCATAGGCATGTTTGCATTAATTACAGGAAATGAATACTAATTTATTATTGCCCCTGCTCACTATCAGTCTAAATTTATTTACCGATGAGGTCAATGAAAAATGAGTTGAGTCTTTTTTTCCTTTTTCTTTCTTCTTTCTTTTTAACATTACTATTTAGAACACTTGGGACTGTGTTTTGCTGTAGATTTGTCATGGTTAATGAATGTTGCTGTAGCAGTCAATCATGTACTCTAAATACTGTCACGCTTTTTTTTTTAAAGCCTCAGTCATGAGCCATGACAGAAAAATAAACAAATAAATATAAAGCTAAAAAACTCTTTCACTGAGCAGCTACCCTACGCAGAATCCCCCGGGAAGGCTAAAGGAGGCCAGAATAAATGATAATATAAGTGCTGTGGACCTAGGGAAGCAATGATGGGGTATGAACAGGAGGTTCTGGAGAAAAAAAATACACATATACACATGCGGGCGCATACTCCAGTGGAAAAATTGGCAATATTAGTGGCCTCAAGGTGCAATTTCCTGGAGCAGTGAGATTGACAAGTCAGTACTAAATGCTGTTAATTTAACTAACTTCAGATTAATGGTAGAGTCTGCTATGACTGAAGCCCTCAAACACAGTCTCATTATAGCCTTGCTGGGAAGGTCCTAAATATAGGCATTGACAGTTTAAAACAAATTCGTATACATTTGTGTATTTTTAGACATAGGTTAGGCGTCAGAGTTTGTGTCACAGTTTTCAGGTTGATTAATTGACCCAGTAACTGCACCCTCTACCCAATCCCCCCTCCTTCTTTCACTCCAAATTATAGAGAAAATGGGGGAATTGTCCTTGCTAAGTCATTCAGTGAGCTTTTTATTGTAAGCCTGATGTTTGAATTGCATGCATGCGTCAACACTTGGGTGATAGACACATGATTTATAAAAATAAATTTTTCTAATACTATAAAATCCCCCCTATTAATTTTTATATTCACAACAGTTATTACGGGTGTGAATTCCAGGTGGCATTTCAGATGGACAGCTTCTCTTGAGCTGTGCTTGGCTCCCCTGACATTTTTCCTGCTTTCCCTAGTACAACACGCTTTGTTTCCAGACTTTCCCTCTCCTCCCAGGTTGTAGACATGATGTTATTTTACTTATAGGGGTAAAGGGATTCTATATCTTCAAGATAAAGCACTTTGCCTTTTCATAGACTAACAAGGGAGATGCATATAATTTGATGACTAAGTAAGTTTTCCAAGCCCATATAGATCCCCGTGCTTCTTTCTCAAACTGGGGTACCTAAACCACAGCCTGATGCCCCAGAATGAATAGGCACATCTTCCTGGATCACCAAATTTCCTGTGTAGATTTTGGTGAAAACACATTATTTATAAATTAAAATGAACACTTTTGTTATGGAGAAGAGGAAAAATTTCCCCCAAAATTGAAGATTTTTTTTTTAAGGGAAACTTTATAGAAGCTCCCCCGCCCCAGGCTAAATCTCCAGGTGCCCCTGAGAATATGCACATTTGCCTCTGTTAGAGGTAATCCCATGCATGAGTGGGAGAGGCACTGACTGAGCCAGTGGTTTCACCAAGCAAACCTTCCCCCCCACCCCCATGGACTTTTTAATGGCTTAATAAAACACTCTCTTTTGAAAGATTTTCTTTATTGACTACCAGATCAGCTGACTCATAAATTAATCATCTTCTCCCTATTATTAATGAGCTATATAACTGCCAATAGAAGCATCTGTTCAGTAGGAGATAACCAACCTAACAAACTGGGTTAATACATTTTAAGCAAAAGTAAGTAAAAGTGATAATTATCTTAGACTGTGTAGTTTTATCTTAAGTAATGATGTGGTAGGTTAGGCATATGATCCTGCTGGGAATCGCATTCCTGTTTCTGCCTCCTCAGGATGAGAACCTTTGCAACACCCTTATTTTAAGGTGAAGAAACTTAGACCCAGGGAGGTGGAATGATTATCCAAGATTTTCTTAAAAACCTTAAAAACTCAGTGAACTTCCTCTAAACCAAATGGAATGCAAATTAATCTATTATTTATGTATTGCCATTTTCTAACAGCTACCTGTTTGTCATGAGATTGGTGAATTCATTTTGATTGGTTGGTTGACATAGAAACTAGAAAGGCTGTGTCTATTTTATGATTGATTTTCCTGCCCATCCACTTCTCTTATTCTTGGATCCATTCTCCCTTTGCTTCCACCCTCTGAATATTTCCCCCTTGAGTCCGGAGCTCCTGGATCTGTTTGCAAGCTTGGGCCTTTTCTCTCTTACTGCTGTAGATCCCTTCTCCAGCCAAGCAGCTACCCCTCTGCACTGCCATAGCCAGCACAATAGAGGGTCTGTGAGTGTGCCGGGAGCAGTCCGGCTGGGGCAGGACCACTTGGCGGCTCCTGAAATAGGCTCCTTGCTATTGTGGTGTTTAATTATCAACAGCATTTCTACCACCCAGTGTTTCTGAGTATTTGTTATAAGACCTGCCCAGCTAATTAACTACCGGGTAGGCGTAGGGGGAGGGGCAGGCACTTGGTGTTCAAAGAATACAATTACGGTTACTGTTTAAACCCTGAGATAAATAGTGATCAGACACCATCAGAATCTAAACTACAGATTACTAACTACTTCTTCGCCTTGCTAGTTCTTAATTTCGCCCTTGCCCTGCAATTCGTAAATTTGGGCCTGATTGATAATTGCTTAAAAGCTTGAAAATATAACGAGGGTAAAATGTAATTTTTTTTTTTAGGTATGAAAGTGAATATATTTAAAAAAATTTTTTTTCAATTAGTTTACATTCAGTGTTATTCTGTATTAGTTCCAGGTGCACAGCATAGTGGTTAGATAATCATGTATCTTACAAAGTGGTTCCCCGATATTTCTAGAACCCACCTGCCACCATATATAGTTATTACAATACTAGAGGCCCGGTGCATGAAATTTGTGCGCTGGGCAGGGGGCGGGGGTCCCCTCATCCCGACCTGTGCCCTCTCACAGTCCAGGAGCCCTCAGGGGATGTCCGACTGATGGCTTAATTCCCATTCCGCCTGAGGCATCAGTCAAACATCCTTAGTGCTGCTCCAGAGGCGGGAGAGGCTCCTGCCATTGCCACTGCGCTCGCCAGCGGTGAGCCTGGCTTCTGGGAGCACACTGACCACCAGGAAGCAGCTCCTGTGTTGAGCGTCTGCCCCCTGGTGGTCAGTGCACATCATAGCGACCGGTCGTTCCGCCATTCAGTCGATTTGCATGTTAGCCTTTTATTATATAGGATTATTGACTATATTCTCTATGCAGTACTTTACATCCCCATGACTATTTTGTGACTACCAATTTGTACTACTTAATCCCTTCATCTCTTTCACCTATCATCCCTAATCCCCCTCCTATCTGGCAACCATTAGTGTGTTCTCTGTATTTGAGTCTGTTTCTGTTTTGTTTATTTTTTTCTTTAGATTTCACATATAAGTGAAATCATATGGAATTTGTCTTTCTCTGTCTGACTTAGCATAACAATCCTCTAGGTCCATCCATGTTTCACAAATGGTAAGATTTCATTCTCTTTTTTTGGCCAAATAATATTCCATTGTATATATGTACCACA